TTTGTCCCCTGCTATATCGCCTGTATCTAGAATAAGGCCTAGCACAAAGGAAAGAGCCTAGTAAATATTTGCACACTGAATAAGTGCATGGATAAGTGGACGAGGTCAATAATGGAGAGTGGAATTTGCAACCCAGTAGAATGTATAAGGTATGCCTTAAATGTTCTTCAAACAAATTTTTAAAATCTTGGTGACCACTTTCCTTGAAAGAATAAAGAAAGGAGAATGAATATACATTAGAGTATAGTTAAAGTTGAACTGGTCTAATATAAAGAAAACGAGAAAAACAACCTGGCTATTTGTGGGAAGCGAGATCAATGGCTCACAGTACGGCACACTGTCCACGTGGAGCCCCAGGCCTTCTCCACACACTGCATGCAGGACTGAGTTGTGACCATAATTTTTTTGCTAGGGATCTAGAGTTCACGCACGTGTGTGTGTGTGTGTGTGTGTGTGTGTGTGTGTGTGTGTGTGTGTGTTTAGGCACCTAGCCCCTTGCACTTTTGCAGAACATTATGCATTAGAGAAGATGGAATAACACACGAGTTAAAATACCCTAAGTTTATGAGATGGATGATCATCAAAAACAGCACAGCCTATAATTATCTGCTGGGGGTTATTTGCTTTAGGAGAGGATAGTTCATAGTTCAAGTGGCAGAAAAGCACAAGGGCAGGGAGTATTATTGGGTCAAATCTAGAAAAGGAAAGCAACTGAGTATTCACAAAGACAAATAACATATATCACTTACATTCCTTTAAAACTAATAAGCTAAAACTTACCTTCCCATTAGTAACATGTGTGAAGTAAATGAAAACTCATATTGCAGGCTGGGAAGGTGGCTCAGTGGTAGAGTGCTTGCCTTGCAAGCATGAGGCCCTGCGTTCGACTCCTCAGCGCCACATAAGCAGGAAAAGCCAGAAGTGGTGCTGTGTGCAAGCCATATGCACATTCACCCCAGTTCTCTTTCATCACATATGCCCTGCAGCGTCTGTGATTGTGGATTGCATTGGACAGCTAACCGTGTGTTGGTCCCCCATTGGTTTGTCTTCCTTTTCAAATTCTGAGTCCCCGTTCAGATACACTACAAACAAGACTATCACCTTGCTGCATCATGCATCCACCTCAATTTTCAAATGAGATGCTTTTGACATGAAAGCGTTAAGTGTCCACTGTTTTTGTTTTTTTTTTTTTTTGAGGTCTGGTCGTGGGGCCTGAACTCTGGGCCTGGGCGCTGTCCCTCAGCTCTAGGCTAGCGCTCTACCACTTGAGCCAGAGCGCCACTTCCGGCTTTTTCTGCTTATGTGGTGCTGAGGAATCGAACCCAGGGCCTCAGGCATGCAAGGCAAGCGCTCTACCACTGAGCTACCTTCCCAGCCCTAAGTTTTGAGTCTATTCATTGGCTCTAAGAATGATGAGCACATTTATCAGATAACTTTAGAGCAGATATAAAAATTGTTGATATTCAGTTGGAGGCTTCCTTCTGGTAAAAGCAAAGTATGTTGTTTTTTGGTAAATAAGAGTGACAGGGCATTTGGGAAGCATGCATGATGACTTGATTGGAAATATTCCTATTATTTATTACACACTTGCTATGTGACAAGCATTTTATTTTCTTAATTCAATCCTTATAATAATTCCACTTAGAAAGCTGAGACTCAAGAGTCAGAAAGCTGAGACTCAAGAGTCATAATATTGTTGAGAGTTCAAACTATGCTCTGGTGACAAAAACGTCTGAAATACAGTGATTGAGACAGGTGACCTGGGTGGGAGGCTTTAATACCCTCTGAGGTCACCCAGTTTTCTCCTCCTATGTTGCTTCAGTAGCTGCAGGTTTTGGCTATGTCACTGTGGATGGAACTGGCTCCAGCCTTTGGGAAGAGGAAGAGGGAACTCAAGGACATGCAGTTTTCTTATGAAAACAAACTGAGGAGCTAGGCGCCAGTAATCCTAGCTACTCAAGAGGCTGATATCTGAGGATAGCAGATCGAAGGCAACCAGGGCAGGAAAGTCCATGAGACTCTTACCTCCAATTAACAACCAGTAAACTGGAACTAGAGCCATGTCTCTAAGTGGTAGAGCACTAGCCTTGAGTGGAAAAAGCTCAGGGACAGCACCCACACCCTGAGCCCCACCATGACCAGAAGAAAAGGAAGGGAGGGAGGAAAGAAAGAAGGAAGGAAGGAAGGAAGGAAGGAAGGAAGGAAGGAAGGAAGGAAGGAAGGAAGGAAGGAAGGAAGGAAGGAAGGAAGGAAGGAAAAGAGTATGTGGTGAGGAAGGAGCCCACCTATCTTTTTTATTCACATTGTCACATCTAGCTGTAAAAGAGGCAGAGAAGTGTAAAAAGTGGGACAGTTATTTACTAAAGCAAGAAGGGAAGTGGCAGGGGGGTGGGAAACATAGGCAGCTGATTAGTAGAAGATCTAGACTGAAACTTTATGACTAGAATCTATGAGGTGTTCACTCCATTTTTCACTACCTTTTAAAACTTACAGTCAGTAAGTGTTTGTTGAATTTAAGTACATTAAAATACATATTAAATACATATAAAATATATAAAAATATGTGTAAGGGAAGTGGCGCTGTGGCTCAAGTGGCAGAGTGCTAGCCTTGAGCTGAAGAGCTGAGGGACCATGCCCAGGCCCAGAGTTCAAGCCCCATGACTGACAAAAAAAAACAAAACAACAACAACAACAAAAAAATATGTGTAAGGTTTTTGGTTGTTTGAAATTCTTCCTTGCTTTCCTGATTACCTAAGTGGTTTTATATCAAACCGCTACTTTTTTTGATAATGTTATTTTTATTTGTATAAGAGGAAACTGATATCCTTCAGTAGGAATATTACAATAAAATTCCCAGCAATTATATTTATTATTTCTATTTGTTTGTTTTGGTGCTGGTCTTGAGGCTTGAATGCAGGGCCTGGGTGCTGTCCTAGTCACAGCTCCATTTTTGGTTTGTTGGTGGTTAATTGGAGAGAAGAGTCTCACAGACTTTCCTACCAGAACTGTCTTTGACCTTTGATCCTGAGATCTCAGCCTCCTGAGTAACTAACATATAGACATGAACACTGTCACTCAGCTTCTTTCTAAAGTTTTTTAAATAAAACTGTATTCCAAAAGAAATGCTTATTATTTTATGTTTTAAATAACTAATTTACCCACTCATTGATGGCTAATTAATATATATTCATTTCCAGATATTTTATGTATATATGTACATATTTACAAAATGAAACTACAGTAAATAAATTATTTTGTAACCATATGGCATAAATTCAGTGACTACCTCTTCATCTCTCCCTAACATAGCACCATGTAGAGTACGTGTAGGACACTCAGAAAGCATTAAATAAATTGAGGAATTTGGGGTAACTGTCTATATATGTTCTTTGCTATCCTTCTTTGTTTATGTACATCGTTAAGAATTCCACACAATGTAAGGGTTTTAGGTTTTTGTTAAAATATTACAAATGGAGCACCCAGTAGTTAAGATCTGTAATTTTAGCTACCCTGGAGGCTGGGAACTAAGAATTAGTTCCAAGCCAGCCTGGGCAAGAACATCCTTCAGACACTTATCTCTAGTTAGCTACAAAAAAAAAACCTGGAAGTAGAGCTAGGGCTCCAATGTTATAATGCTAGCCTTGCCTTAAGCAAAAGAAGCTCAGGGACAGGGCCTAGGCCCATAGTTCAAGCCTCAGGACCAGCCCTCCTCTCCCTCCCCCCCCCCACCCCAAAAAAAGAAAAGAGAAGAAAAAAGCTTTCCCCCATTTATACCTAATTTTAACTGTCTATTGCTAAAAGAATAGAACATAATGTCCTCAACATATAAAGTAATGAATGAAAAAAGCATCACTTTTAATACAAGCAATGCTTTATAGCAGATTTTGAAAAATGTAGTTTATAGAAGCAAAGTACTAAATGTTCTTCAGACAGGAATGATTTAGAAAATATACTATGACTATGAGCAGCAGATTTTTTTAAAGTCACATGAACGACCTTGTTACTTATTTCTGTTCCTTGGTATCTAAATGAATAATCTACCAGTTCTTTGAAGTTCTGTAGAAACATATAAGATAATAATTCTGACTTTTTAAGTACTTTAATGATTTTCTCTTTCCAGTAGCTATTTGTTTTCAGGAGAACGCCATGTTCAGTACACTTTAGATTTTGTTTTGATTGGAATATGGGTCAGCACTTGCCATGATATTACTTCATCACTCCATCCCCAAAAGCTTAGAGGTGTACAACAATGTTTCGTTCACAGGTGGGTCTCCAGAGGGACAACTGTTTAGGCTGGGCCTGGCTGCCAGCTCTGCTTTAGATATCTCTTACTCTTGTTCTGAGACAGCAACCTACCCTGAACATATTTTCCTCTGTCAATGGCAAAAGTGTAAAAGAACAAATGGAAGTACTTGAGCTTCTTGAGGTCTAAGCTAGGAACTGGCACAACCTGTTTGCCACCAGTCATGTGACCAACTCCACAGTCAAGAAAACACATGGAAAACACACTTGTACAGTGTTAGTCATATGAGAAAGTGACTTAGTGAGAATAGTGTTGATAAAGCAACTTACAATTGTTTTGTCTTAGCAAGTTGCAGTATTTTGAGTATGTATAATGATAGTAATTTTAAGGTAGCTTTGAGGTTCTTCTTTTTTTTTTTTTTAATAGCTAAGTTTATGGATAAAATTAGGAGTCAGGTTAGGCTTGAGCAGAAAGGTAGCTATTGAACCATGTCACCTAAAATAATGAATGCTATTTCTGCAAGAATTGGTTCAAGAATATGGCATTCAGTGTTAGAATATTTGGCATAGCATTGTTCCAAGGTGACCAGTTTGAAAAAAAATAGTGATCATTTGAATATTTTGTTCCAAAATATTTTAAAATGATAAAGTGGATTGCTCATGGCCATATTTTACCATTTTGTGTCAAAGTAGAAAGAGCCATAGAAGCTCATTCCTGATCTTTTGTCTCACCCTGGAAAAATATGCTTTCTCTGCAGATTCTTATCGCCAAGTCACCTTTGGCTCCATTCACCTCATTTGCCTACAGCATCAAGGAGGAAGGCCTGGTTCTTCAAGGTGAGATCCTTAGATTGTATCACTTATTTAAGCTGAGTATACTCAGTGCTGCCCATTGCTAGTGGGCACTGCTGTGGTCCTTTGGGAATCTATTTCAGGACAGATTCAAAGGCCAAGGTGAATAAGATCAAAAGATTAACAATTGTAGCAAGAATTTGATAGAAGTTTGAGGAAGGGGGTGAGAGACAGCTATAGAATTTAATAGGTGAGTGGAAGGGCTTTAGCCGTAGCTCAGTGGTACAGTACTTGTCTAGCATGTGCAGGGCACTAGGTTTGAGCCCCATCATTGCAAAACTAAGCAAAACCACAGTGGAACAACCAAATAATAAGAATCAAATCAATAAAGCAAGGGATTGTCAACACCTGTCTTCTTCACAGATTCTGGGATATAAACTGGGCAATAAATGCTTCACAAGTTGCAGCATTATCTGGGCCTGCCGCCTACAGGACACTATGCCAGGGCCCCAGGAGCCCATTTCCATGGTTTTCTTGTAGTTACTCCATTTCCTTTCCTTGTGTTCAAGTCCTAACAGGCCCTGCTCCAGGCCTTGCCAACATGGGCCTTGTGGCATAAGCTTAGACTTGGAAGGAGCTGAGTTCTTGCTCAAAGTGGAATATCACAAGGCCACAACCTCAAACTCACGGAGCTATAGTGGTAGCTCATTCCAAAACTCTGGGTACTCTGATGGTTAGGAAGGGCTCCTGACTGCCGAATTCTTCCAGAAAAGAAATTAAATATACAGGAATACATTCAAACACAGTTCAACACCATTTGAATGTATAAAGCTGCTCTATAGATTTTTAAAAAAAGAAAGAAAGTGTTCAGGATACACATCTGTTGCCTACTATCAGACAAGAAGCCCATACAGAGATACATAGGTGAGTGTCTAGTTTGTACCTTAGAGGAGCATTAGCATTAATTTGTGTGGGAACCATGTCTGCCCTGTAGGAGTTTGCAAATTGAGGTTTTTCTCTCAGGTTTGTGAAACAAAGCAGTTTCTGCAATAGCCCCTCTAAGGATGTACATGGCATTGAAGATACACAGCAGGGATTCTGTGGGTAGGCCGGGAAGTTTGTGCTTCTGAGGGAGGAACAGGCTGCAGCCCTCCCTGCTTTTCCCCTTCTAAAATATATGCTCCTTAATGGACTCACCCAGCAGTGGGGTTGTTGGTACAGCAGCTCCCAGGTCCACAGAAAACTGGGGTAAGAACTGCTGACCTTTGGCTCTTAGCCTTTGACTTGTGCTATCCAAGTTCCTTGGTAAATATTTTTTTTCACAATTGCAAATATTGTTTTCTGACAAAGAGGCAGAGATTTTAAGACCAGATTAAGCAAAGCAAATAGCAGGCCCCTTTGTTACATACTCTGTAAGGGTGTATCACTAATAAGCAATCAGCAAGCTAGGTTTATATTTACCCAGTGCACAGAGTGGCTTTGAGCTCTTCATTTTTAGAGGATGTCTTAAAAGATTAGAAATCTAGCTGAAAACAAGTTTAAATGAAGATTTCAAGAACTTGTATGGAAGATTACAAGATAAATTCAGGAGGAAAAGAATCTGTACCACCTAGCTAGCTTGTATTAAAAGCTGTACTATAATGTTTGTTTTTGATAAACAGCATTTCTAGGCCTGGTCTAACATGGCTTGAGGTTATTTGTGGGGACAAGATTCACTGGGTTGCCTCCCTAGAACTCATGACTAAGATCATGGTTTTGACAAGGACATTTAGATAAATTAGAAATGAGAGATGCAATGAATTGGTGGAATTTTAAAACAGTAACTACACACAACATGCAACAAGAGATGATATGAGAAAGATGGGAGGTATCTTGCTTAAGACAACTGACTGGAGCAGTGAGTTTCAAAATTCAGAAAGAAGTCTTCTGATGTAAGATTCCCACAACCTGTGAATTTGGGAAGGAAAATGCCTGGGAGACTTGAGAATCTCACTGGTTGCTTTGGAAGCAACCTGTTCCTTCCCCACCATCCCCACCATCCACCTCCCCCCTCTCAGCTACATTTCCCTCTTTGAGGTTTCTAGACATTGGAGAGCCCTCCTGCTTCTATCAGTCATGAACCAAATACAATCTTATATATTCCTGGCCTTCTTGCTATGTGCTCCAAGATTTTGGGGGGGAGGAGGCTGGGAGTATGGCTAGATATGCTCCCCAGAGGGGAAAAAAAACCCAACAACAACAGGGGAATCCTTGGAAAGAACCCTTGGATCTCAGTTCTAGCTTTGGTATGAATTTGAGAAAAAAAAACAAAACACAAAACTCTAGGGACCTAGTTTTGTCAGCTTGAAAATGAAAATATGATTCAAGGCTCTGGAAAGTTTGCTGTGACCCATTAGTGGCCTGTAAAGTGAGACTGAGTCACAACCAGCACTTAGAAAGGAAGGGAAGAAGGAAGTTGAGAATATAAAATTATCAGATTATATCACATATAAAAATATCAGATTATCTCATTATTGTGTGATTCATTGTAAGTGTCATCTAGCCTGGGTGATTTTTAAAGGTGTCTCTCTTCAGCCTTACCCAATTCTTCTAGGAGGCTTACCATTCATCTAGCTTGGTATAGTTGTATCCTTGAGATGCCAAAGGCTGGAACATAAAGGCTTATTTTTCCCTATTGTTACCAAATGACTGAGCTAAAACATACCTGCCCAATTCCCTAGGTTTGGGGTTTTTGTTGTTGTCCTTTGGTGCCAGCCCTGGGGCTAGAACTTAAGGGCCTGGCTTCTTTTGCTCAAGGTTATCACTCTACCGCTTGAGCCACAGCTTCAGTTCCAGATTTTTGTGGGGAGAGGAGGTTAGTTTTATTGGAGATAAGATTCTCATGGACTTTTCCTGCCCAGGCTTTCTGAGTAGCTAGGATTACAGATGTGAGCCACAATTCCCCAGATTTAAAGCAGAGAGACCTTTGCTCCCTGGAAGGGGACACAGCAACTTGGCTGGTGTGAGAGACTGCTTTGACATGATGGCCAGGGATGGCATGGAGTTGGTACACTGAGCTCTGGGTAGCACCTGTAACCATGTCTGTGGGGCATGGAAGCAGAGAAGGAAATGGTAGACTGAGACAGTTCCCATGCTTCCAACTAAGAGAGAAGCCACCTGCACCATGGCTTGACATCCGTCTCTGTAATAAAGCCAGGCTGGAATGGTGGGAAAAACACTCCAGGCAGGGTTCCCTGGAGGCAGGTGAACATGGGAATGGTCCCTCCATGCCTTTTATCCCAAGATCCTATAGGCTTCGGACCCTGGAGGGATTTTTTTTCCCTTTAATACCTGAACTCTCTGAGTGCACTGGCTGGCCCAAGGAGGGAATAAAAGGTGAGGGTAAAATGCAATTGCTCAGCTCCACAGGCCATTCTTAGGGATTAGAATTCTGAGAACAGGCGCCTACTAGGGGCCTGACACCCTTCTCTCCCCTTTGTTCACAGGGATGGGGAGGGGGACAAAGAAAGGGCAGGCTAGAGGGATGAGGAGCTGGTTAGAGATTTCTCAGGCAGCTTTTTGAAACACTTGAAGGAGCCTGTCCATGCTATTGTAGTAAAAGAGAAAGTGGAACTATTCTCCTTTTGCCAAAAAGAAGGAGGAGGAGGAGGAGGAGGAGGAGGAGGAGGAGGAGGAAAGACAGAAAGGAAGGAAGGAAAGAAGAAAAAGAAAGAAGGAAGGAAGGAAAGAAAGAAAGAAAGAAAGAAAGAAAGAAAGAAAGAAAGAAAGAAAGAAAGAAAGAAAGAAAGAAAGAAAGAAAGAAAGAAAGAAAGAAAGAAAGAAAGAAAGAAAGAGAAAGGTAGGGAAAAGAAACTCGCCCTCCCAGCATCTTCAGGCCACAGAACTTGGCCATTAACATGATGGTAATACCATCCTTTGTCTGCCTGGCCTCTCCTGGCTGGGCTATAGGCCCTGGAAATTCTTGGGCCTCAAAGGAGAGTGAGCTGGAAGCCACCAGCTTCACCAACAGCTCAGCCTGAGAGGAGGCCAGGTAGGGGCAAAAGGAGAGTTCAGCCCCTTTGTAAAACTGGAGTAGGAAAGATGTAGATGAGGGGGAGTCCTGAATCCATTTCCCCCTTTGCATTTGCCCAGTGAAAAGCCCATTACTCACCAAATGTAAAAACTCTGAGAGTGTTGACTAGCCCAGAATGAGGGAAAGGCAAACAAGTTGACTTGAATAGGGCGGGCCTCCAAAGAGCCTGACTACAAAAAGAAAGGGAAAGGAAGGACCAGGTGCTAGTGACTCATGTTGAAGTAAGGAGGTCAGGTCTGGCTGGTGCCATATTGGCCACATGGTGGATGGTAGGGTCTGGCATCTTGTCTTCATGCTGGGGGAGGAACCCCCCCATCACCTGTCTCCCAGGTAATGGGCGTGCCGGGATCCCTGGAGGCAGGGATGGGCACTTGGCTCATAGGTTATGGAATCTGTCAGTCCAGTGCCTGGGACTGGGAATTTCCTGAGGATCCGCCCCCTGCACCAACCTATTTAGGCCTGGACCAGCTTAACGGCCCTTACACCATGCCATGTGTGTCTCCGCGATCGAGTCCTGTGTCCTGTCTCCTGGCTCATCTCCAGTCATCATGGCATCCCAATTCAGCTCTCCATTGAAGCTGAATTGGATTTTTGGTATTGATTTTGTTCCTTCTTTCCTCTTTAGCATATTTCCTAGCTGTGTTATGTGTATTTGCGAGCCACAGGCCTTTGTAACAACTGGCTGCCTGCATCCTGCTAACGGTCTAATAAAGACTCCAATATTATATATTTTAAAATGTGGCTTCTGGGATGATTCACCTTACAACAACGCCTATAATCCTAACTATTCAGGAGGCTAAAATTTGAGGATCATGGTTCAAAGCTAGCCAGGGCAGGAAAGCCCCTAACACTCTTATCTCCAATTAACCACCAAAAAGCCAGAAGTGGAACTGTGGTTCAAGTGATACAGTGCTAACCCTTGAGTGAAAAAATTCAGGAACAGCACCCAGAACCTGAGCTCAAATCCGGTATCATGATGTGCATGTGTGTGTGTGTGTGCACATATACACACATACACATACACACAAAGGAGAGTTGTTTAGTGAAGTCTAATTCCACCTTGTATCTGCCGTGGTTGTATCCTTTGTCTCCTCAGCAAGCCCCATTGTAGTAGCACCCAGAACATGGTAATGGCAGTCAGCCTGTGCTTCTGATGCCACAGGAGGCCCAGGGGAAGCCAGCACCTCACTTTTCCCAGCGAGCTTCTAAGGAAGGGACTGACCTGAGAAGAGAGAAGGGAGCACTAAATCCCACCCAAGTTGTTCTATACTAATTTATCTGACATAGATCCAGAGAGGTTTCTGGATTCAAAACTAGCTTCAATCACTTGGTATAGGGACTCAGAAGAAACAATGTTTTGTTGTTACTGTTTTTGGGTTTTGCTTTGATTTGTTTTGAGAGCTGGAAAGCTATGTGCCTCCTCTTTCTGGCTTTGCTGTTACAATCTAGAATGTCATGCTTGGCCACTTTTTGAAGCATGTCAGAAAAACCATTCACCTTCTTTATGCCCTAGTCACAAACTTAGGTTAAATTCTTCCACACCATTTTCTCAGTCACTAAGTCAACCGGATATTTTAATGGAAAAAGTCCCTCTCCCCCTGCCCCACCAAATACTTCCATTTCAGTTTGAATTAGTAACCTAGTTGTATGTTTTCCGCCTAGTGGACTCGAAGTAACCTAGAAGATTCTCAATTTCCACCCCAGTATGGAGGTATGAACATGGTGAATTTCCTCCCTGGCCCTCCTGTGGAAGTGCAGACAAAGAGCACAAACTTCTCTCCCAAAAGTCATGGAGAGAAGAGTGGTGTTGGCTGAAACATTTGCCTTGTCAGGCCAAGTGTCACCAAGGCCTTGGAAAACACATATAACAAATTGCACCTTTTTAAAAAATTTTCAACAGCTCAAATTTTATTTTAGAAACCAATACAGCTACAGGAAGTTGATTTTGAAAACCTTAGCTAAACCATATGAACACAGTCAGTACAAATACAAAAAAGTCTAAACATACTTCAGAAGAAGAAAGAAAATCTTAAGTTGTATGTACTAAAGAAGCATGTGCATTTTTATCTTTAATATATATTCAAATACTGTTCTCCAAAGGGAATTATCAATTTACACTGTCTCTAATTATGTATTTCCTGTCAGGTTCCCATGGACAGTCTTATTATATATTCTTTATAAATGTCTATTTCATCTTTGTCATTGGAGTGTATGTTTACTATATTCTCTAGAGAGATTCACTAATCTGTGCATTTTATGCATGTACTTAAATGTTTACTCATAGAAGTTATTTTATTACTTCTAAAGTTAATTGTATGCATAGTTCCCCAAAAAGAGTGTTTTTAGGCTTTATCTTATTTCTTAGTTCTTATCTTGGTCTTTGGGTGAGGAAACTTAAGTTCCAAAAAGGTGAAGTGAGTGAGATTCACTGTCACAGGAGTGGGTTTGCAGCCTGGACCTGAGATTTGGGAAAATCAGAAATGGGTTGGAGCCCTCTCCTCTTCCATCATGGCAGTCCCTACAGCCGCTTAATCTCTCAAGCTCTGCAGGTCTTTATTGACATACTCCAGGCCCATCCTGAATCTGTCAGTCTTGAAATTCTAGGCAAAAATAGACCACTTACACCGATAGAATGTTCCTTCAGGAAATTCCCTGCAAGCAGTTGGATATAACCACTCTCTAAACTAACAGTATTATAAAGTTTGTTGCCTGCTCCTTTAGCATTGGGAAGGAGCATAGCTTAGAGCTGGAATAGATCAGATTCCCATGTTTGTCCAGGCTCCATCACACCTATGGTATTTTTGTCATGGTCCCTAGAATAGCTCAACATCATGTCTTCTATCCAGCAACAGAATTTATGTGGAATATAACATGATGGTGGGAAGGATGATGGAAAACATTGTCCTTTCTCTAAGGACATTAACTAGAAGCTATTAACTTTATTTGTGCTATATATAATGTTGACTAATATGTATATATGCAAACACATACAAGAATGGCTGAAGATGTAGTTAACAATTTGAGTGCTTTTATACCCAAATAAATGTTGGGGCTCTATTACCATGAGAGAAAGGGGGAGAAAGTGAATGTTCGATGCCACAGCCCTTTCATAAGATCCTAGTTGTAGAGCTTCATCCCCACCATAGTGTAGACCCTAGGACTAGACTTACTGCATATAGTTGGTATTCTTGAAATGCTGTGTAAATACTACGTGTATGTTAAAAATGATCTCTCCTCCTCCTTCTTCTTCCACCCCCTGTCTTTGATTCCAGAGTTTTGAGCAAAGGAATAGTGTCACCATCAGTTACTCTATCAAGGATCAATACCCCCAAATCTTAGTCCCCTCTTCTCAAACAGAATCTCCCTCAGGCAGGAACTTTAGTATATGTTGCACAAGTATGGGAGAAAGAAACTTGAATAAAAGTTTCTAGCGCTTATAGTACAAACTAGGTCCTGAACTTGGGCCCATAGGCTAAATATATTTTCCCCCTCCAATGTGCTTTTCTGCTTGCATTAAAAAAAACAACAGAACAAAATGTCAGCTGAACTAAGATTATAGAAAACTGAGCCTCTATCCCAATACCTGGACTAAAGTGAGAGAGACTGGATCCACAGTCCTCTTTGAGAACCTGCAAGCCTTTTGTAGACTTAACAATTTGCATTTGTGAAAATGTCCAGGTAGTAACACCAAAGGATGTCCAGAATTATCTGGACATTGATGAAAACTTCTTTCAAAAGGACTTGGTGTTCTTTCTGGAATACTATTTAAGCTCCATGCCAGCTATTTCAGTTCAGCAAGTATTTGCTGAACATCTATTGTTTGCAAGCAAACAACACTCATCTAAGTGGGGAGGGGGACAAACAAATAAAACAGAACAGTTTCTAACTCAGAATCCAATTAGAAACAAAGCAGTTAGATAAATTTAGTAGTGGTATCTTTAAGTAGTTGTACAAGGGTGTTGGATAAGTTTAATGGACAGCACGCTGAGACACTTGCTATGGTGGCTCAAACGGCGGGTCATACAAGAATAGATAGACACTTTCTAATTTAGATGACAGAAGAGCCTCCTAAGGGCTGAGAGCATGGGGACTTGAACTGAATTCAGCTTCTGAATCCTGACAAAAACTGCATCCCATTGTCTCTGAGTGACAGAGGCCATTTTCTTTTGCTGTTGGAGGGAGATTTGAGGACACTGGGCAATGCTGATTAGTTCCATCACTAATGCTGATTAGTGACAAATGTTGAATCATGCTGACTAATGTGTTCTAAATGGATTGAGTCAACAATAAAGGGAACATTCTGAGTCAAGAGTTCAGGTCCTTGAATCTCCCCCCGTGATCAAGTGTAAATCACTTAGCCTCTTAGGACCTCATGTTTTATTTTGTCAATTCAAATGTGTTCATCCCAAAGAATCCAATAAGTCACCTTGACTTGAAAGTGCTTTCCAGGCCTCAAAGGTAACAGAAATGCTTAACAACAACTACCTGGCTTACGCAATGTTGGGTTATTTATTAGTGATATGTACAGAATCAGAACATCCATCACACGCTGTTCGCTAGCCATGCGAAACTTCCACTTCCTCTGACTTACCATGAGAACTGACAGTGAGCTGCACTCACAAACGCTGACAAATAGAGGAGCTTTTGAAAAGTCTTCCTATCCACCTACTGGGGCGTCTGTGTCTTTCAACAACAAATGCCGCCACAGAACTGAGAGCTTGCATTGCACACACAGCTCTTTCTCTTCTTTTGACATGTCCCCAGCTAGACTGCTTGAGAACCTGGCCTTCCATGTCCAGATGTTTACTGAATTCTGAAGGCTCCCCAAAGGGCCCAAGTTCTTTTGTTGCTCTCCAAATCATTTCCCACAGAGACTGACCGATGTCCTGAAGGAGCCCTTCAATAGGGAGGATAAATGAAGGCCGGTGAAGACATGACCCCCTGAGGCTTGCCCACATCCACTGGAACAAAGGGTCTGAGGCACAACCTTGTAAGGAGTGTTTTGGTCAGCAGCCTTCCTAAGAGAGGCTGAGTCTCCCCCACAGGGCTGCTTTCAATAGCTACCATCATAGTGGAAGTACTGGGCATTTGTTAAGGGCTCTGGTGTGCTAGGTGTAGCACAAAACATCTAAATCATGGTCCTTGGCCTTTGTGAGGGCTTCCTGGCTCCAGATGGCAGCTGGCTTTCTCAGGGGAAACTTAGGGAGAGTAGAGAAATCTGGAGAGGGGCTCTTGCGTTCCTACATGACCTTTTCCCACCCAGTGCCCTTTGTTTGTAACTGTGGAGAGTCAAGCCAGAGCTGTGGGACCTCAGACCTCCACCTGCACTGTGTCTCTGGATGTCTCTGGCAAGCAGAGTGCCTAGGTAGATGAGCAATAGGGATTTGCAGACTGCTGCTGCAGGGTTTTATTTAGATTGCTGATGGATTGTTAGTGCATATGCTTTTTGTTGTTGTTGTTTTCTTCTCAAATTTTTTTTCTCTCTCTCTTTCTCTCTCTCTCTCTCTCTCTTTCTTTTTCCTTTCAGGTTAACAGAGGCCATAGGGATACTGTGACCTTTGTCTAGAGCTGATGGGGGGTGTGATTTGTGAAATGAAACAGGACTGTGCTACTTGGAAGAAGGAAACGGAAGCCAACATAATGAGGATTAATTAGTTGATTGCTGTTGAGATGGTAACAGATTTGCTCCTAGACCATTGAGCCTGTGATTTCGGACCTAGCAGGGAAGGTGTGGACGAAGAAGCCTTTGTTCAGGACTCAAGATGTATGTAAGGCTGAGGTCTTTGCACTTACATAGCACCTTTCAACCAGGCACCTCAAAGCCGTTTAGCCACATTAATTAATTAAAGCCCACAATCTTCCTGGGGAGAGGAGGAGGGTGACTAACAAGATTTGTAATTACAGGAGGGAACATTTCCGAATAAAGTATTGTCTACCAAATAAAGAGAGTGGTGTAAAGGAATTGGGGGTCTCCCAAGAGTAACGGATTCATAAATGAAATCATGGAATGATGGGGAAGGCTGAGCGGGCATGAGTGTGGAGGCACGCCCCCGTGTCACAGGGAGGTCCGTGACCTCAGAATTCACTGACAGTTTCGGATTCAACCACGAAGAGTATGTATGGTATTAGTGGCATTTGGGAGGTCATTAGTGGCCTAACTATTGTAGTGTAAATGCAACTTCCACTGGTATATTGTTGTATCACCCTACAGAACAAAGACTGAGATTCAGAGCAGAATTTAATAAAGGATGAAATGATTTCTATAGATTTCAAACCCAAAGCTGGGCCAGTCAATTAGCAAATAAATCAATCGGTGACCCATGGGATAATTTAGTTCTTCCCAGCAGAACACCCAGTCTATGAATTCCTACTACTCTGAAGCCCTGGAGCAAAACTTCAGCTGAGTTCTTTCAGTGCAGTGTCTGCGAGGTTTAACCCCTTCCAAGGCTGACTACCCAAGTTGTTAGTGACTCCAAACTGTCTACTGTAGAATCACTTTAACCTGCACCCCCTTCAGAGATTTTAAGCAGCTTAGAAGTCTCTGGATATGGATGAAATATAAGATATGGGTTAGAATCAAACCATCTCCTATCAGTGCCCCACAGAGAGCTGTGCACAAAGGCACAAGGGAGTAATAAAGAGATAGCAGTCTGAGTTTGTTCATGACTTAGTAAATTGCTGAGCTTTTATCAAGTGCTCAGGTGAAGCTTCAAAGTAATAGGATGCATACATGTCCTCAAGAAATGTATTACACAAAGGCTCAAACTAATAATTAAAATAAAAAGCTAAGTGAGGTATATGTTGAGAACTTGAGGTGTTCCACAGAATTTTTGTGAAAACCAAATTGAGCTTTGCAACTGATTACACTAGGTTTCCCTTGAATTCTTGTGACATGAATTGGTGACAGAGTTGAGAACATACTACCCCAAATAGGAGAAAACAGCAGAAGCAAGAAGATTACTGTCTCATCCCCCCCCCCCTTCTTCTGAAGCAGGTCATAAAACCTGGCTGTCTTCCTTTCAAATAGATCATTAAAACATCATTCCAGAGGTGCCCTCCTTATACCTAGAAGAAAAGAATGTCCTTATCTCTGAAGACACAGTGATGTACAACAGAATATGAACAAACAGACCCTGCTAAGTCCCTCCTAGTTTATTACCATTAGATCATACCTCTTATGCTCCAATCATACTTCCGCATGACTGTCCATTCTTCAAAACCTAAGTATAAAGATCCACAGGTTTCCTTAGTTCTTTGTGTCTTCATTTGTGAAGGCTCCCATGTTGTGTAAAATTTGTATTAAATAAATTTGTATGCTTTTCTCTTTTTGATCTTTTATTATAGAGGCCTTAGTCAGGATCCTGCAACCAGTGAGAACAAGATTCTGCTTTTCTTCCCCTATGGTTTCTGGGGCCCATCTGATGTGGCTAAGACATTTCCCTTGCTCTAGGGAAAGCCAGTGGAAGAAGAATGCTAACCAAGATCATAAAATAATCATAATGATGATGAGATATGAGTTAAAAGAGGGGTCTACGTGGGGTAATCAGTTGGGTGGGGAAGAAGACACTAGGGAGTAAAGAAGGTTAAAGTACAATCCATATAAATAATATAGATGTCTGGGTAGATAGACAGACAGACAGATAGATAGATATGAATGTAGCATAAGACGCATCAATTTTATTGCAGAAAAGGGGCAAGGGGCTAAGGGAATGTAATAGAGGGGAGTGAACTTGATGAGGAACCTAGACAAGAGAGGACTTGTCTTTTACTGGAAAGAACAGAATTTTGACTCAAGTGCAGACAGTCCCTGTTTTCCTCACTTTCATCCCTTTCCCCTGTGGTATTTCTGTTCACAAGCCATTGAAGCCTCTCACTAAACTACTTCCCACAGTACTACGATACACACAATTCTATAGAATGCCAGCAAATGTTTTCCAAATAAAAGAATCACCAGAAATCCTATGGTTGTTAGATCTGCTCTAAGCAGAAACTGCACAAGGTCTGGGCATAAAGCTGAGAAGATGACAGAAGGTCATCACTTTTTACCACCATCAAAGGGCAAGAAAGTTGCCTAGCGAATGGGTGCAGGAAAGAAGACACAGGTGGTAACAGGTTGAAAAAACCTTTCAGTCTGACATGCATGCTAGCAAGATATCTTACATTGTTACTTTTACTGAAAGTAATTAATGATACAATTCTGAGATGTTAAGAGAATACGCATATATATGTGTGTGTATCTATATTTATATATCTTGTGCACATGTATGTGTGTTTGTATGAATGTCTACCCAGAACCCAGCTATTTGGTTGAGGCACTGCAGTCTGAGGTAGAATTGAGAATATTTCTGGATTAACTCAGAGGTGTTGAATTCTGTGGATGCTTTCTTTTAAGTTGCATATTGGGGGAAAAAACCAAAAGATACTGCTCAGAGATAGCATCGTACAAGTTTCTCCAACAAAATAAAGACTGCCTAAAGAGACTTCTGGAAATGGAAGGTAATGGTTTAGGTTTGGGGCAAGAAGTGGATGAAAGCAAAGGGAAATCTGAAATATCTGATTCTGAACAAAACCACCACCAACAACAAAATGTGGTCTTAGAACTACTTGCTTTTCATTTTGGTATTATCTCTATCACTTTTGTCCTCTAGCTGTGGAAAGAGAACTTGTATTTCACTGCAGAATTCAAAGCCCTCAGATAGAAGAAAGGAACCCATTACACTTCTAAGTTCAATACTATAAGTATGAGAGAAAACACATTGCCTACTTTTCTGACTTCTGCTGAAGCACAGCTCAATTGAAACACCAATTTTCCAGCACTCCAAATGAATCTGGGAGGAAAGAAAAACAGCAAATCATAGAGTACAAATCTCAGGAGAGATTTGATTTTGCTGCCAAACAAACACGTTATTTCCCCCCCCCCCCCAAAAAAAAATCCCTTAAAGTCTGTCCATGTCGTGGGTCTCTAGAACCACTCTCTCCTATGTAGTGACTTAGAATTGTACTTCAGTATTAACATGCCCTTCAAAAAGCTGCCATTTCAGAGCGAAAGAGGAGAGATCAAGAAAAAAGTGTGAGAAGAAACACTGACAGTTAAATTCTTCCTCCAAGGAGTCACATACACTACTTATACATCTATAACTACACAGCCAGGCAGCCATGCCAAACACCAAGGAAATGGAAAAGTACAAGCTTCCCCCTGTGTTTAGGAGGAAAAGAGAACTAGCTATCAATAAACACCACTATTCTTTTTCATTTTTTTCTTTATGTGAACCTTTCCTTGGATCATCTGGCATACATCAAAGATCTACAGAGTGGTGTTGAGGAAGGGATACCAAATGGTTTTGCAGCCCGTTTTTATCTACACTTTTTTGAAAGAGAGTATCCAGAAAGGACCAGTTAACTGTAGATACTTTCTCCTTCATGCCATCAGACACAAGAAACTCTGGAAAAGGTCAGTGGGTTAAAAGGAGCCCATGGCCTGGTTTTAATAATACATGTAAGATGGAACAACCAGCTTTGAATAGTCCAGGACCATCATGCTCTGTGTGAAAATGCTTCTGGAAATGTGCCTTTCTACTTCCATTCCTTCTCTTCTTACTAGACATGATTTAAATTCCCTTTCAGCCCTGTGACTTTTCCAGAAAGCAACTCTCCCTCAGTGGGGAGGTGTGGGGGAGAATTATAAAACTTTCCCTTAATATTCTTCCAATAATGAATTCCTGCTCTGAGTGGTCTGCCTCCATGTGTTTTGAGTCAAGTGTCAATGGCAGCCTTGCCAGGGGACATTTCCAAGAGACTGCCGACATAAAAGATGAGGTCTTGTATTGACAAGACCCATTCCTGGATTTCTGTCCAGTTTAGTCCTCTTGAGTCCTGAAATCAGAGGTGAGAAATGTTTCATGAGATCTTATTGGTGAACCAACACAGCTCTTATACCTCTTTGTTCTCTTTAACCAGGTAAAAGGATATTATTTCAAGGCTTCCTTTCAGAGAGATTTGTGGATCCAGATTTTGGTCATGTAAAAGGGACTTTCTAAGACCAGATAAGTTCTTTGTAGAGGCCAAGACTTCCTTTCTTTAGAAACTAAGCATAGTCTTGGCCTGCTCTGACATCCTAAGAACAAAAGAAGAAATTAGGTCATGCTATTTCCTGCCTCAAACTTAGTCTTAAGAACACCAATGGCTTCAAAGTTAGCTATGGTGGTGGGACCAAGTTTAGTAAAAGAGCTAGCCTACTATTCTCCTTACAGCAACCTACCCACATGGTAGGTTGGGTTCTTTTCATTTGGAAGAATCTTTAATTGCCTTAGGTAACATTAAGGATTTGAGCAATGTAAGATTTTAAAGTCTTTAGGAGGGGAGGCAGCTCTGGGTTTGTCAGCATGTACCTGTTTTTCTCTGCATTCTTATCCTGGATCCCATAGTTCTACTTACTGGAAGTTTCAGTACATATGGACGTTATTGATGTCTGTAGCTCCTTTGGGTGACATCTCAACTTCTCAACTTTATTTCCCATTCATTCTTTCACTTGTTTAAAATTCCTAAAGAAGAATCAGATTGGCTCAGACTTATCTTGTCTCAGATAGCATCATTGATCATCAGCCAGCCAATCAAGTTTGGGCTTAGGAGTCACTGAAAACATGGTTGCCTGAGCTGCAAAAGATGTGGGTAAGGGTGCTTGTATTGGATCTTGAGAAAGCAAGGTAATGATAAACTCCAATACATGCTCTATCCTTTAACTGGTTTGCCGCTTGATACCCATTCTCTCGCTTGCTTCATCCTATCACTGTAGACCTGGCCTTGTCACTTCTGTCACAGCCCAGGCATATTGTATCACTTCTCCATCCCCCAGTTTAGTCCTGCTTCTCTGTTGTTTACATACACAGTCACAGATGAATAGGATCAGTGCGCAGAATGGTGAGACATACTTAGAAATACAAGAAAGACTGAGGGAGGTGTGTAATGAAAATAAAACACTCTTAGCTAAAGAAAATTGTGTTTCCACCATGAGACTCAGGTGCTTTTTCTCCTCCCAGCCCTTGGAGTAATTTTCCTTTCCCCCTCAAAGCATACACTAGCAAAAGAGAGAACTTTGAGCAAATGGTTAGACATTATCTCGTCACTCATCTCCCAAATTCCTTTGGACCCACATTCTTGACTAACAAGTTGCAATCAATTTATTTTCACACTAAGGTTTAGAATACAAGTGAAAGACCCCATTTGGATCAAGTTTTTTCAATTTTGTTCTCCAAAAATTCCCAGAGCTCTTGGTTTGAAGTTATTCACAAATCTTCACAATGACTTTGGAAAGCTAGTCATATGTAGTATTGCTCTTTCAAATGAGTTAGAGAAATTGTATTCTGCATGAATTCAGATGTAATCAAGGGACTGGGAGAGCACTGAATCGTGATACCAGACTTTCCATCTTAAATATCTACCATTACCTTTGTGCCTCACCAATAAGTAAAAGCCCAACCTAAACCATCTGCCTTCAGACTTCAATATTCTATGCTCATTTTAATGGTCATGAGGGT